TAAAAGTTTTTGTTTGCACACCTGTTAATTCTTTTGGGTATATACCTAGGAGTAGAATTACTGGGTCATGTGGTAATTCTATGTTTAACTTATGGAGGAACCTCAAAAATGTTTTCCGCAGTGGCTGCACCATTTTATATTCCCACCAGCAATGTGTGAAGCTTCCCATTTCTACATATCCTTGACTATACTTGGTATTTTCCAATCTTTTACTTCCAGCCATTTTAGTGGGTGTGAAGTGATAGGTCATTGTGACTTTGACTTGCATTTCCCTAATAACTAATGATTTTGAGTGCCTTCTTTGTGTATCTTCTTTGTAGAAATGTGTATTCAAGTTTACTCATTATGAATGTCATTGTCTTGTTGAGTTGTGAAAGCTCTTTATATATTGTGGATACTAGACCCTTATCACATACATGATTTTCAAACACATTTTCCTATACTGTGGTGTGTTCTTTCACTCTCTTGGTAGCATCCTTTGATGTAAAAAAGTTTTTCATTTTGATGAAATCCAATTTCTCTATTTGTTCTTTTGTTCCTTGTGCTTTGGGTTTCATAGCTAAGAAATCATTGCTTACCCCTATGTTTATTCTAAGAGGTTTATAGTTATAGCTCTTACATTTAGGTCTTTGATCCATTTTGAGTTGATTTTTGCATATGATGTGAGATAAGGGTCTAACTTCATTCTTTTGTATGTGACACCCAGTAGTCCCAGCACTGTTTGTTTTAAGAGACTATTCTTTCCCCCATTGAACAGTTTTTGCACCCTTGTTGAAAATCAATTGACCATAGGTGCATAGGTTTAATTTTGGATTCTATGATTCCATTGATCTATGTGTCTATTATTATGTTAGTACCACACTGTTTCAATTATTGTAGCTTTATAATAAGTGTTGAAATCAGAAAGTGTGAGTCCTTCAACTTTGTTCTTTTTTTCAAGATTATTTTGGTTATTTGGGGTCCCTTGCAATTCCACATGCATTTTAGGATGGGACTTTCCATTTCTGCAAAAAAGATGAGTGGGATTTTGATAGGGATTACATTGAAGCTGTAGATCGTTTTGGAGAGTATTGCCATTGACAATATTAGGTCTTCCAATCCATGAATAGTAGCAACAAATTATCTGAAATGCTTTATGAGCAACAACAATAAAAAAGCAATGAAGAAAAGGAAATGATGCCTCTTACAATAGCATCAAAAGAGATAACATACTTTGGAATAAACTTAACCAAGGAAGTGCAAGACTTGTACACTGAAAACTAAAAATATTATTGAAATAAATGGAAGAAGACTGAAATGAATGGAAAGACATCCCATGTGTGTCAGGGTCAACTAGTTTTTTTGTGTTAATCTTGTATCCTGTAGTTATGCTTTCATGTTTCTAAGAATTTGTTCTTTTCAACTAGGTTATCTAACTTGTAGACGTACAATTGTTCATATAGTTCTCTTATGATCTTTTTTCATTTTTGTAAGGTCAGTAGTAATGTCTCCACTTTCATTTCTGATTTTAGGAATTTAAGTCTTCATTTTTTCTCAGTCAGTCTAGCTAAAGGTTTGTCAATTTTGTTGATCTTTTCAAAGAACCAACTTTTGGTTTTGCTGGTTATCTCTATTATTTTTCTATTCTCTATTTTATTTTTTCTGCTCTAGTCTTTATTATTTCCTTCTTTCTGCTAGCTTTACCTTTAATTTGCTCTTATTTTTATAATTCACTAAGGTAGAAGTTTGGGTTATTGATTTGAGATCTTTCTTCTCTTTTAATATGAGTATTTATAGCTATAAATTTCTCTCTGAGTACTGCTTTCACTTTATCCCATAGATTTTGATATGTTGGGTTTTTGTTTTCGTTTGTCTCAAAATACTTTCCCCTTGTGATTTCTTCTTTAGCAATTGGTTGTTTAAGACTGTGTCATTTAATTTCCACCTATTTGTGAATTTTCCAAATTTCCTTCTGCCAGTGATTTCTAGTTTCTTTCTGTTTTTAGAGAAGATATTCTCTATGGTTCCAATCTTTTAAAATTTGTTAGACTTGCTTTATTGCCTGACATATTGTACATACTGGAGAATGATCCATGTGAACTTGAAAAGAATGTATATTCTGCTATTGTTGGGTGGAGCATTCTGTAGTTAGATCTAGTTGGTTTATGGTGTTCAAGTTCTCTGTTTCTTTATTGGTCTTCTATCTAGTTCTATCCTTATTGAATGTGAGGTAGTGAAATCTCCAACTCTTATTGTAGAACTATTTCTTCCTTTAATTCTGTCGATTTTTGCTTTGTATATTTTGGGGTTCTGTTGTTAGGTGTGTATATGTCTATAATTGTTAGATCTTCTTGGGGTATTGACCCTTTTCTCAATACATAGTGTTTTTGTTTGTCTCTTGTCAAAAAATTTTACTTAAAGTCTACTTTGTCTGACGTCAGTATATCCACCTCTGCTCTTGTTTGGTTACTGTTTGCGTGTAAGATCTTTTTCCATCTTTTTACTTTCAACCTAACTGTATCTTTGGATCTAAAGTGAGTCTCTTGTAGACACCATACAGTCAGATCATGTTTTGTTTGTTGTTTCTTTTAAATCCATTCTGTCAGTCTCTGACCTTTGATTGGACAGTTTAATCCATTTATATTTAAAGTAATTGCTGATATGGAAGGGCTGAATTCTGCCATTTTTCTATCTGTATTCTATATGTCTTATATCTTTTTTATTCCTCAGTTTCTCCATTACTGCATTCTTTTGTATTTAATTGATTTTTTTTGGTAGCAAGCCATTTGAATTCCCTTTTCATTTCCTTTTCTCAAAATTTTTTAGTTATTTTCTTTGTGGTTATCCTGGTATAATGGGTTGAGTAGTGTCTCCCAAAAATATGTGTTCCCCTGGAACCTAAGAATGTGACCATATTTGGGAATAGAGTCTTTGCAGAAATAATTATTAAGTTAAGATGTGGTCATATTGGATTAAGGTGGGCCCTAATTCAATGACTAGTATCCTTATAAGAAGAGAAAACTGAGACATACACAAAGGGAAGAAGGCTATGAGATGACCAAGGCAGAGATAGAATGATGCATCTATAAACCAAGGAATGCCAAAGATTTTTGGCAACCACCAGAAACTAGGAAGAAACAAGGAAGCATTTTTCCCTAGAGCCTCCAAGAGCATGGCCCTGTCAACACCTTGATTTCAGACTCGTAGCCTCCAGCACCATGAAAGAATATGTTTCTCTTGTTCAGGTCACCCAGTTTACTTATTTATGGCAGCCCCAAGAAAATAATACACTTTATTATTACAACTGACAACAAACTAGTTTGAATTAATACCAACTTAGCCTCAACAGTATACAGAACTCTGCTCCTCTATAGCTCCATTCCTTCTTCTGTGTGTCATTACAATCAGAAATTATATCTTTATATATCCATTGTGTGTCACTAACATAGATTTACAATGATTATTTTATACATTTGTTTTTTGAAATCCTATAGGAAAAAAAGAGAAACTATAAACCAAAAATACAATAATACTGGATTTTATATTTACTTATATAGTCACCTTTGCTGGTGTTCTTTTTTTCTGTGTATGACTTTGAATTGCTGCCTAGTGTCCTTTCATTTCAGCCTAAAGGACTCCCGTTAGCATTTTTGGGAAGGCAGGTCTACTAGTGATGAACTCCCTCAGCTTTATGTGGGAAGTCTTAATTTCTCCATTTTTGAAGGATAGTTTTGCTTAATATAGAATTCTTGGTTAACGGCTTTTTTCTTTCAGTTCTTTAGGTATTTCCTCCCAGTGACCTCTGGTTTCTGATGAGAATTTGGCCATCAATCTTTGTAAGGATCCCTTGTACACAATGAATCTCTTTTCTCTTCCTGCTTTCAAGATTCTCTCTTTGTCTTTGTCTTTTGGCAGTTTGATACATTATTTGTGTCTCAGGGTGGCTCTCTTTGAATTTATCCTACTTGGAGTTTGTTGAGCTTCTTGAATGTGTAGATTTATATCTTTCATAAAATTTGGGGAGTTTTCAGCCATTATTTCCTCAAATATGCTTTCTGACCCCTTCTCTCTGCTCTCTCCTTCTGAGACTCTTGTTATACATATTTTGATCTGCTTCATGGTCTCCCACACATCTCTTAGGCTCTGTTCATTTTTCTACATTCTTTTTTCTTTCTACTCCTCAGACTGGATAATTTCAATTGATCTGTCTTGAAGTTCACTGATTCTTCCTTCTACTGTCTTCTACTGCTCTAATCTGCTGCTAAACCCATCTAGTGAATTTTTCATTTCATTTATTTTACTATTCAACTCCAGAGTTTCTATTTAGTTACCTTTCATAATTTCTATCTGTTAATTTCTTTCAATCAGTTAGTAGGGAAGGATTAAGGGTGTGCACCCCGGTGCTGCCATTGAAATTCTTATGTCTGTGGTGCTTCTGAGACCGCGGCACATAGGATAGTAGATGCCCACACCATGTCTCTGTTAGTTGAGACCATTGCTTTTGGGGCCTCCTTAGTAGGAATGAGTAGGGATACATTGCCTACTCTCCTATTAGTCAGAAGGGGAGGTAGCCTGACAGAGTTAGAAATATCACTGGCCTCAGAGCTCAGATCCCGGCTCTGCCGCTCCCTTGTGGTGTTCTGAGAGGAAGATTGTTCCTCTGCACCTTCGATTCCTCATCTGTAGAGTGACCAGCTCATCCTGGTTTGGACACTGAAAGTCCTGTATCCCAGGAAACCGCTCAGATGCAGGGAAACCCCACTTGTCTGTGAGATGGAGATAATACTACTGCCACAGGGTGGTTGTGAGGAATAGAAAGAAGATCCAGGAAAGCACCCAGGGCGTGGTCAGGTTCCATAGGAATTTAACTGTTACTTATGAAAAGTGCAGGGAGGGTCTTTGAAGACTGGGAATGATGCACCCAATAGCTAATACCTTGACATGTCAACTTGCTTTCCACGGGGCACCTGAGAGGGGAACCTGGAGAGTTTCTGTTAGTTCTACTTAACCATTTCTGCCAGCTATCCCTCCGGAAACATCGCCATGTGTCAGATCCCCACATGCTGCAGAGGGAGGACCATCACCTACCTCTTTAATGACACACCCAGCTTCTCCTTCCTGGCTCTATTCAATGCTGAAGGCCAGGGCTGTGTTCACTACAACTTGAAGGCCTGGTGAGTGGGTTGGGGGGACCATTGGCCCCATGGAAATATCTCTTGGGGTAATGAAGGGGGTACTGAGGTGACAGTCCCTGGGAAAAGGAGGGGCCAGCAGTGTCCAGGAGTCTAGGAAGGCAGTGAGGCAGGGCTGAGGCTGGGCTGCCTGGTCCTCGCTTCCTGGATCCATGTCATAGTCAATGAGAGGGGCAACTCCCCAAGTCCTACTCCACCTGCACCCCCAGAGCGCTAAGATCTTGATTGTTGGCTGGATTCATGAAAGAATTCTTTAGTGGAGAAAAGTGTTTTATACCAGGAGAGAGTGAAGGAGAGGCCATGGGCACCACTTCTCTGGGATCTTTTAAGAGAAGCACATATTCTTGTCAGCAAAATAGTTGATTTTGTCTGGCCTTTCGTAAGGCACTGTCCTCAGAAGGGATGACTTACTCTCGTGTTATAGATGTTCTAGTTCCCGTTTTTGTGCCTGAGGTCTTGTATGCTCAGGCTCCCGGGCAACAGGGCACACATTCCTTGTCTTCCCTGCTTGGGTTTGGCCTGAGCCTCTATCATCTCCCTCAGAACTGCCATTCCTGACAGACTCCCGGTAGCATTAACAGGTGAGGAGGCCTCAGGCCATGTTAGATGGGGTAAGTGAGGCTGCCTGCAGGACTTCATGGTTCCTCCAGCCTGGGGCAGAGTCTCAAGGCCCTGCCTGCCTATGGCCCAAGGTGATGAGAGCTGCCTTCAGGGGCCTGGTGGCGGCTCCTTACCTCTGTGTCTCTCCTAGCTGCCCCTACGTCTTGGTCTTGGATGAGGAAGGTGGGGCCACCTACGACTACAAGGGCTACATAGTCCACAAGTGGAACTGGACCTCCAAGACGGAGACTTTGCTCTCCCTGCAATATAAGGTATGGGCGGGCAGCATAGGCTGGGTGGCCGTGGTGGCCTTTCCAAGGCTGCCCAGCATTAAAGCCAGAGGGCCACCCCAAGCTGGGAGCTCTGCCTTCCAGGAGCTTGTGTTCTCATTGGGATGTTCCCAGGTTGGTGGGTGGTGGTCCAGGGCTGGCTAAAGTGAACTTTTCACCAGCTGACAGCAGCTGTTGGCTGCCGTACTGACCTTTTTTTGGTACTATCTTTCCTATTTTATTGTTATTATTAATATTATTACATTTTTATTGTTAAAATGTCCTTTATTTTAGAAAATAACTTATAGTAGTTGATAGCTTTATTTTTAACGTCTATATGTGGCAGTAGGAAAATTCTATGTTGTCTGCCCAGTGTTTGTTTTCATAACTTTACTATCTGTGAAATAAAAAAAAATCTGGGAGTCAAAGGTGCTGATAAACACAGACTTTATTTTCATTCACTTTGTTGTTCAGTCATTCATCAGAGATTTATTGTGATAAATTACTGTTGAATTATTAATATTAAATACCAATACATTACATTACTAATAAAGCAATTCTATGTGCTTGTCACTTTATCGAAGGTGAATTTTCTCATCATTGGCACTACTGACATTTGGGGATGAATAATTCTTTGTTATAACTGTGCATTGTAGGGTAATTAACAGCATCCCAATAGATGCCACTAGTACCCCCTGCCCCAGTTGTGACAACAAAAATATTTCCAAACATTGCCAAATGTCCCCTGGTGGCAAAATCACCCCTGATTGAGAATCACTGATCTAGGGGATAGAAAGCTAAGAAAGGCCCTTTGAGGGACTCAGAAGTCTCAAGGAGTAATAAGAACATGGGGTAGAAAAGGATAAGGCCGTAAGAGAGGGACATGCTCATAGAGTTGGGATTAGAGAAAGATCACAGGGCATAGAATCCACCTAAGCTGGCCTGAGATTAAGAGCCCCGAGGTGAGGTTATGGACAGAAGCCCTCCAGGAGTGCATGGGAGGGCTCAGGCGCCCTGCCCCTCACCTCCTGTCTCACACCCTGATTGTTCATCCTCTGCACTGGCCACTGGATTCTCATTCTTATATCCCAGTTTCTGTAGATCACACCTCTGCTCAGGAACATTCAATTACTTGAGCATGTCTTACCTTTCCTACCTCCTTGGCCTGAAATGCACTCCCTCCTCTCTCCACCAATCCAATTTTCCCTCCTTCATAGCCCTGCTCAGATTTCCCTTCCTTCATGCCATCCCAGCCCACATCCATTTCTCTCTTCTCACAGTGCCCACAGTGTGGGTTAGTCATTTGACAATTAGTCCTGCAATGCACAGGTTCTCAGCTCTGGTTGCCTTTCAGAATCACCCATGAGACTTAAAAAAAATGCAGACCCTTAGGCACAGCCCCAGAGAGATTCTGATTTAGTTGGTCTGTTATGAGTTTGAGATTTCTATAGTTTTCACAGTTCTGATGCTTGGCTAGGTCCAAGATCCCCAATCTTGGAGGGTATTGAGCTCTTGTCTTAATATATATTTTTTGTAGTTATATGAAAGGTTTAAAATCCAAGAAGATTATTAATCAGTTGCAAGCAGGCATAATATGTTATGTGTCTGTGTGGCCAAGTGGATGAAGAACTAGGATGAGAGTCTGAGGAGCCAAGTACTAGTGCCAGCTTTGCTAGACTCTGGCTGTGCAGCTTTGTGAAAACTGCTCAGCTTCTCTGAGCCTTCGCTGTCTCATTAATACAAGGTGGGTCACCAGACCTGCCCTCCTGCCTCATGCTGCTTTTGTGAAAACTAAATGATATAATAGTGAGGAAGGTGCTCTGACGTCACTGAAGTGTTTTAGCAGTATATTTTAGTTCATTGTTCTGTTCCCTGGAGCCACATACACAAATGCACAACAGGGGCTGCTGCATCCAGGAGTGGCCTGGAAGCTGAGGTGGCCCTTGAGCTGTGACATGAGTGTGTGTGCATGTGATTCATAGGCAGAGGCAGTAGCATCTGGAAAGGCTTGGAGTTGGGACTCCATGTGGCATCTTTAGAAGTTCACGAGTGTTTCTTGTCAAAGAAAGGAGAGCAAGAGGTGTACGTGTTTTGGGGTGCAGGTGAGAGGTGTTGGATGTCAGGCTGAGGAGTTTGTATGCTGTATCGGAGGCTGCAGTGGCCAGTTTGTTTTCACCTGGATATTTACCATTTCCAGTGTTTTTCATTCCTCTCTGACAATCCAAGTTTCCCTCTGGTATCATTTCTCTTCAGCCTGAAGAACTTCCTTTAGTGTTTCTTGAAGTGCAAATGTGAAAAAATGTCTTTCTGAAAGGATATTTTTTCCTGGATATGGAATTCTGGGTTGACTGTTTTTCTTCCAATATTTTAAAGATGTTGTTCCACTGTGTCTGTCCTCCATAGTTTATGATGAGAAGTCTGTAGTTATTCAAATCATTGCTCATTTTCTTAAGCTGCTTTCAATATTTTCTCTTTTTTTGGTTTTCTAAGTTGGATTATGATATGTCTAGGTGTGGTTGTCTTCATATTTATTCTGTTGGGGATTTACTGAGCTTTTTGAATCTGTAAATTCATGTCTTTAACCAAATTTGGGATGTCTTCTGCCATTATTTTAGAAAACAAAATCTGCTCCAATTTCTCTCCTTTTCTCCTGAGACTCCAATTAGATGTATTTTAAAACTTTTATTATTGTCCCAAAGGTCCCTGAGGCTCTGTTCTTTTTTGTTGTTCAAGTTTTTTCTCTTCTCAGATTGGATAATTTCTATAGATCCATCTCCAAGCTCGCTGACTTTATTCTGTCATCTCCATTCTGGTATTATGCTAATTCTGTGAAATTTTTAAATTTCAAATAGATATTTTTAGTTCTACAATTTCCATTTAGTTCTTTTTACATTTTCTATTTCTCTGCTGAGGTTTCCTGTTGTTTCATTCATTACAAGTATGTTTTCCTTTGCCTCATCGCGTATGGTTAAATTAGCTGCTTTAAATTCCTTGTCTGATAGTTTCAGCATCTGGGACATATGAGACAGGTTCTTATCCACTGGCTTGAGAATGGCTCCCACCTCACTGGTTCTTCACATGTTGAGTAATTTTGGATTGCTAACAGTGTGAATGTTATGTTGTGGAGTCGCCGAATTCTGATGCGTTTCTCTGCAGAGTGTTGATATTTTTGTTTTAATAGGCAATGAGCTTGGTTAGACTCACACCGTGAACTTTGTCTCCCCTGCATTGTGCAGCAGCTCAAACTCACTTCCATTTTTCTATTTCCTTGACTGTGAGCTGTCTTGAGTTTGCCCTGCTCGTACATGGTTCAGGGTTCAGGCAGAGATGTGGATGGTTTATACAGAGAATTTGGGGGTCTATTTCTCTGGCTCTGTCCCTTCTGGAATTCTCTTCTTACTTTGCTGTAACTGTAGTTGCCCTAGGGTCTGTCCTCTGTTTCTTTGGGCCAGAAAGATGGTGGTGTTTTGCTATGACTATGGCCTGCCTTCACGTAAAGTTGTAAAATGGAAACTTGTCCCATGCTGGTCCTTTCTTTTAAGTTTTGACTCTTCAAAATCTGCCTGCTTTGTTTACTCTTCAGAGCCTTTGGGCTTTTTTTTTCATGTTCTGTGGGAGGGTCAGCCTGTTAGGAGTTAACTTAGCTACATTGGAAGCATAGCTAACTGGTTAGTTGTTAAGCTGAGGCCTGGCATGCTCAGTCCAGAATTTATGTGGAAGATCAAGTAGAGAGGAAAAGATCAGTGGATAGGGTAGTAGAAAGACTAGTTAGGAAGTTACTAGCCAGACCTGACATGATGAAGGATAGTAACAATATTTTTTGAAGGGGCTTTTTCAGCAAAAGAATACAGCGGCATGCAGGCATGAGCTATCGGGGGTAAATAAGTTGAGGAGGAAATTGTAGATGACTCTGCAGTCGAGTGTGTGTCTGGATAGAAATAGAGATGTTTCTGAGAAAGTCTGAGATCAATGTGGTTTTAGACATGCTGATTGGGCTCAGTGGCCATATCTCTCTGGGCTGTTGTGACATAATCTGCATCTAGGGTGAGAGATGGAGATGATGAAATATGTGACTGGGCTGGCACACGAGCTCCCAAGATGATGAGCACTGACTGTTTGTAGAGCACCGATATCTGGGGCAGTGGGGAGAGGAAGAGGAACCCCCCCGGGAGCAAGGTGGTAAAGAACAGTTGCATCATGCTGAGCCCTTGGCATGACTTATCCCATGAAATCTGCTCAGCACCCCAGGAAAAGGGTTCTTTTACTGTTCCCAGGTCAGAGGAGCTAACTAACTTGCCTACAAATGCCCAACTGATAAGTGGCGACATTGGGATTGGAACCCTGTCCAGCTGCAGCACTTGAGCTCCCAACCTCTAAACTACACTCTCTAGAAGGAGCATAGGAGAGGGTAGGGTTTCTCTTAAGTGAGAGTGATCTACAAGGTGTGAAGATGTCAGAAAACTTGGCAAGAAGACAGTTATGAATCAAATATTTTCGGGGTACTGAAGGAGACAAGCATCCAGGCCATAGAGTGTGAGGAAGGGGCTCAGTGGTGAGGAATTTGAGTGTTGATCTTTGGGCCAACAAGTGGAAAGAGCAGAAGGGAGCGTGACTTCTTAGTTCAGAGGAGTCCTGGGGCGCGTGTATGGTCAGGGACGTTGAATACGAAAGGGAGAATTGCTGCACAGCAGTGTAGGGCTGTAGAATCCAAGGCCCTTGGGTAGGGCCACTGTGCATGGATAACTCTCGACACACGTGGGCCATCCAGGCGCCTTACATGTGAGTTGCTCTGCCACGTCCTGAGAATATCTGCTCGTGTTCAGTATGGGCCTTTATGGCTTCAAAGCCACTTCCATAATCTTTATCTCATTTGAACCTGCTGCTAGCCTTTCAACGATTTTTTGTTGAAGACTTCGAGCATCAGAGAGAGTCAATAGCTTGCTAACAGGAGGCAGACCTGGGACTCACCCCTGGACCACACGCTTCTCGGGACAGAGAACCCTCCCTGTGTTCCTCTCTGGGACTGCTACATGGAAAAGCCCCACCCTGTTGAAAGTGGTAGACAAAGGTGGCTCCTTTGGGTCCTCCTCAGAGGAAGAGTAGTGATGTATTTGGTGACTGTAGGGCAGGGGACTGAGTGTGTGTGGCTCAGCACCTGCTGGGTTCCCTATGCCATCTGCCCACCGTCTGAAGATGCGTGTGTTCTGGAACCCCCTACCGTGTGGCCAGCTTCCCAGGGCAGCTCTGCATGCTGTGGAGCAAGGCTCGTGATCGGACCTGGTGCCTGGGTGGACACGTCGTCTGATTCAGGGGTGGTGTTGGCTTCTGACTCGGCAGCCTCCCCATCCAGCTCTCCCCGAGCTGGAGCGGATTCACCTGCCAGACTCCTGTGTTTCTTTCACAGCTGGTTCCTAGCTTGGGTTGGAAAGGGCAGGGGCGGGCGGACGAAGGCATCATTTCTTCTGCTAATCCCCCAAAGAGAGACTAGAATTCTGTTTTCTCCATGAAGCTAAATTCCAACATAAGAACTGGAAAGACCTCACAGCTCCCTCAGCTCCAAGCCAAGAGGGGTTTTGTTGTTTGTGGAGGATCAGGAAGGGGTGGGTGAGACGGTAGAAGCAGGGGTCTGCTGATTACTGGTTTCTTCATCTGCAGGTGAACGAGCAAATGAAGCTGACGGTGCTGGGGCAGGATGCCATCATGGTCACCTTCACCTCCGTGAATGAAACAGTTACACTCACTGTGTCAGCCAACAACTGTCCCCACGGGATAGCACATGATAAACGGGTAAGGCAGAGCAGATCAGTCACCCAGGCCTGACCCCAGGGCATCTCAATGTGGGTTGCCGCTCTACATCTTAACGCCTTTGCTTCTCTTACCCTCCCACCCCATGCAAGGCCCTACCTCTTTCTCTGCCTAATGGAGTCCTACTCACCATTCACTGTCTGACCTTAGTACCACCTTCTCTGTGAAACTTCTATCCATCGGTAGTCTTTCAGTTGTGCCAGAATGCAATTCAGAGTGGCTTAAGCATGAAAAGAGTCTGTATTGGCTCAGCACGCTGAAAAATCTGTTGAGAGACAGCTTCAGGCTTGGCTGGATCCAGGCCTTCAAATGATTCCATTAGCTCTTTCCATCTCTTGGCTCTGCTTTCCTCTTTGTTGGCTTTATTCTCGGGGATTTTCTCTCCTTATGGTGAGAAGGTGATCTTGAGCGTCTCTGGGCTCATTATTCTACCAGCTTTGGTCTCCCCAGGAGAAAGAGGGCTTCTTTTTCCTGAGTTCTCCAGTAGACGTGCCAAAACCACATCATTGACTCTATTGGCTGCCCATGCCTGAAATGTTCCCTGTAGCCAGGAATGTGTGTTGCTCTCACTGGCGAGGCTCGAGTGTCATATCCTTCCTGGAAGCCAAGAGTTACAGTCAGCCCCAGCTGTGCCACCAGGGCAGAGGATGAGGCAGGAATGTTTTCCAAAAGGAAAATCATGGTGCTGTTACCAGAAAAGGAAGCGAGGATGCTGGACAGAATAACTACCAATGGGTGTTATGACCCTCCCACCACCCGCTTTTCCGTCCCAGGTAGAGGCCGCCTCTCCCTCTACTTGGCCCTCCCAGACTCACCTCTCTTCTGGCACTCCTTTATTTACAAGCCAGTCTTCTCCACCAAATTGCAAATTCCCTGTGATTCCTACTGCTGTCGGTTGCCCCAGGGCCCAGCACAAAGACTGCTTCTAATTAAGTACTTGCTAAATGTTTGTTGGGCAGGTGAGAAAATTGTGGCGACTGGGAACCCAATTCTTCCATTCACTGGATCCTACTGTGTGGCTGGTCTCAAGTCAACATGATGGAGAGAGATGGGGAGGATGAAGGGGACACAATCCCTGATCCTTGAGGAGTTTGTAGTCTAGAAGAGAGCAGTTGACACACGCCATGAAACTGGGGTGCCCAAGGTCTCGTTGATGGAGGATGCCACTTGCACTGCACACAGGGCGCTTGGCTGGGATTGGCTCGCTCTGGAAGGCTCCATGAAGTAGGAGCCGGGGGACCATACCTCTGTTTGCCCGGGGCCAGTCCCAGTGTCTAGCTATCAGTCTGGAGGAATTGTTAACAGCATCCCCCTTTCACTCTCAAAAGTGTCCCGGTTTGGATGATCAATTATATGGTCACCCTGAGAAAGAGGCTCTTGTGCTGCGGGAGCACTTGCTGCCGATGCCACAGGCTCGTGGACTCACCGAGCTGACAGAAGCCCTAAGGAGCAGCCAGCCCAACGTCCTCAATCCACATGGGGACTCGGGAGACAAGCATTGGTTAGGGATCCATGTTATCTGAACAAGACACAGAGAACACCTGTGTTTCTCCTGGAAGAAAATGTCGCACCTGTTTTTTCCACTATATTTTCATTTCAGCAGCATTTTGACTTCGTTCATTCATTAACTGAAACAATGAACATGTGCTGGCGCCTGCAGTGTGCCATGCTGGCCGCTGGGGACGTAGAAATGAAAGAAGTCTCTCTCCCCGTAGCCTCTGAAATATGTTCAGACTCATGGAAAGGGCGAAGCATCAGCCCCCGTCGGAATCCAGCTGGGCGCCGTGGGGGCTGCTGTGCTGCAGGAGCAGAGGGTGTCTGTGAAAGGGGTTTCTTGGGAGCACCGGGGACACTCGGATGCCTGTGATGTCAGCCCACACTCATTACGTCAAAGAGTAAAATAGTCCAGGATTTGGAGTCCATCTGGCCTAAGCTGAATGATCACACTTCTTGCTGAGTCCCTCCTGTCCATTTGGTTCCATACACTTACTCTAAGCGCCATTGTTAAGTGACTAAGTGTGTATGAGGTCACATGTCCTCATGTCTTGAAAACCTTTTTTAGACGGTGTAAAAAATGTGAGTTTACTTTTCTTGAGAAAGGCAATCGATATTAGAGAATTATTTCTTCCCATAAAGTAGCAGTTATGTTCCGTTTTCTTGGCAGTCTCTCGCCTGTGGTCGTGGAAGCGTGGAACTCAGCTAAGAACCGGGGCATAAGCAGTTAAAGACGCCGGTGAACAGCTGAGACACACTCTGAGTCCATGACCCAAACATGCCCTCTAGGCCTAAAAAAGCCCCTTAGTCATTCAGGCTTTATTTTTTCTTACCTAAAGGCGACCTTGGCAAGCTAGAGCTGGAAGTGCAGAGCCGTGCTGGCCGAGTGGCCGCTGTGAGTCGCAAATGGCCGTTGAGCACTTGCAAAGTGACAAGTGGCAATGGAGAGGACGGAGAGTGAAAATGCACACTGCATTTCAAAGACTTAGCAGAAAAGAGGGTGCAAAATTTCTCGTTAATCATTTGTTTTGCTTCTATGTTGAAATAATCATATTTGGATATTAGAATTAATTTCACCTTTTATGGTTTTTATTGTGGCTTCAGTAACTGTGCCTGTGGCTTGCAGTGGATATCTGCTGGACCGTGCAGGTCTGGAAGATGGAGTCTCCACAAGGGAGGCTCCCAGAGGCAGTCTGACGGTGCATAGAGGCTGGAAAGTTATTTCTTTAAAAGGACATCATGACTCAAAAAGCATAACCGTCTTGGGGACACTTGGCGTAGGGATACACAGACCAGTACATTAAAACAGCGACTGAACACAGTACCGCATCCTAGGTGACAGTCATTGATGTTGACCAAGAAGATTGACTTGCCAAAAAAACGTCAGGGCGGTAACCCCTTCTGCTTGAGAATTCAGGGAGGTGTAATATATATTACAACTTTCTAATGAATAAACAACAAATGACGGAAGATCAGATTTATTGTAGGTAACAGGATTTCCAAATGTAGCTGCCAGGTTGAGAATCTTGGGATGTTTTTACACGAACCCTCAAGGCTCAGAGAATTGGCTCATCTTAGAGTCTTGGACAGCGAGAGCTATGAGGAGCTCCCGAGACACTTTGCAGCGGGGGCTGGCAAAGAGCCTAGGCTAGGAAGAGGCCGTAGGGCCTTGGGCCAGTCCCTTTCCTTTCTGGGCCTCAGTTTCCCCATCCATATAGTGGTGTGTAAGGGACCCCCCAGCTTTCACACGCTCCCACCCTGGGACTTTTACAATCTGCCCCACCTCATCCTGTGTTTGTGTTCAGGGCTGGTTGTCACGCATCAGCAAAGTCCATGGCAGTCTAGGGGAGCTGAGGGTGAGGGACAGGGTGGCCGTCCCCCTCAAAGTCCCTGTCACTGGGAAGCTTGTTAAATGGCTTCCCCAGACACCCATCATCCTGGAAGGAGCCACACATCAGAGTGACAGGCAGAATGGCGGTCCCAGCTTTTATGGCCCTGTGGCCAGGCTCCTCACCAAGTATTTCTGTCACGGCAGCACTTTGAAGTGAGGCAGCACCTCACTGTGAAGGCTTTATGAGCTCAGAGTCTGCCCCATATCCTTCTTGGAAGCAGGCTGGGTATAAATTACAAATAAATAAATGAAATTCGCCCAGAAGCGGCAGCTGGGCCCGACCATCGGAAAGTGGTTGAGGCTTCGCTGTTAATTGGGGCGTCCTCTACAGAAGTCCTGCCTGCAGGCTAAGGAAGGACATGTGGCCGACTTCATTGTTCTTTAGAAAATCTGTCCACTGTCCACCCCACTCTCTCTCCACCGGAGGCTTCAATTCCATAGAAGAAAAATTTTTTCCCACCTCCTCTGGGTTAACTGGGCGATGTAGAAAGCACGGTTCCTGCCTTCAAGGGGCTAACCAAGTTTAGAGGTGAGGAAAGGAAAAAGTGACCAGGACCCTGGGCAGAAAGGACGAAAATGGGCCGATGCTCAGGTTTTAGCACAGAGAGTGGTTGCTGCTGGCTGAGGAAATCAGTGAAGGCTTCCTGGAGGAAAAGTCAGACCTTGACTGCAGCCAGCTCTGGAATCTGAGCCTAGTTCTGTAGTGCCACTGAGGGGCTCCGGGAGAGGGAGGGGCTGAACTGCAGGAAGTGCCGTCCCACCGGGAGCCCCAGGGCCAGAATGCCCTTCAGAGTAACCCCAGATCGAGGCAGGAGGCCTGGGCCTCGTGCCCCACAGGGACCAGTCAATCCCTGTAACCTTGGCCAAGGGCGGTTTCTCAGCTGAGATTGTCTGGCAGCTGGAGGGATGAAGGGGATTCTGGAGGATGCACACAGAGGGGGCATGGCAGCAACGGCTCCGGAGAGGCCTGTGTCCATCCAGTTGTTCATTAATGCAGCAAGCATTTATCGAGCATCCTCTACGTGACAGGCACGCAGCCACAGAGGAGACTAGAGCCGGTCCCCGTCCTCTAGAGCTTACGGTCTAGCTGGAGACAGAGGCTCAAATGCCTCCATTTCCTTCATAAAGGACTAGTTTCTGTCTTCCGGCTGTGTCGCGAGCCTGACGGGGACCAAGGCAGGGGACAGCCCTGCCCAGTAGAGTCAGGGAAAAGCCTGCACGGAGGGGAGGTTTGAGGCAGGTGGGGCCGGGTGCAGGCGTTCGCTGGGCTGGGGAGGGAAGCAGTGTGCTCCAGGCGGTGGGGACGGCACTGCATCCAAGCTGGAGCAAGGCCTGGGTGACGCTGGGCTGCGCAGACAGCCCCTGGCAGGGCAGGTGACAATGGCCCCTGCCCCTTGGCCTCTCCCCAGCTGACGCACAGAATCAACAACATGGACGAGAAGACGGCTAGGCTGTGCCGGGCCCTGGCGGAGATCAAGCGGCGGTTCCAGAAGACGGTGACTCAGTTCATGAACTCTGTCTTGCTGGCGGCAGGTAAGGGGGCAAGAAGGTGGGTGACAGCCTAGCTGATGGCTTCCCAAGTCTCGGGTCACCTACAAGTCGCCTCCAGGGACAGCTCTTTCCCCCCTGGGGAGGTGGATGGGACGAAGAGGCTCAGAGTGTGAGGGGACTTGCTCAAGGCCACACGGCTGATAATGGTGACCCTCACCAACTTCATTTCGCGAGTGCTCTCCCGTGTGTCCTTAATGTCTTCATGTGATTGTCCTGTTTCCTGGGCCTCTCATCATCTTTCCGGATCTCTGTCTGTCCCTACGCCCACCCCTCGTCCACCTTTCAGCTCCATCACCCGTATCGTCCATCATCTGTTTGCAGCCCCATTCCTCTCTCCTTGTCGTGGAAGATCTCAGGAGAAGAGACAAAGTCCCTGTTAGTCCCCCAGGGCCAGTGTGGGTGGCTTCGGGACCCCTCCCACATCTGGGCTCTCCTCCTCACTGCTGGTGGGCCTGGGGACAAAGGAACACTGACGCCCGCTCCATGCCTGGCTGGGCATGGAGGGGCTGTGCTCCCCCACGGCCTCCCTGTGGAGTTTCTCCTTGTCCCTGGAAGACTCGGTTCGACCGTGCCCTTCTTCTGGGGAGCCTTCCCTGATTCCCTCCGCAGACAGGACCGCACTCTCCCCCTGGCTCTCACAGCACTTTCGGCATGCTCTAATTATAAGCCTTACTACCTCGCACTGTGAACATTTCTTTGTGTCCCCATCTGCCCTGTCTGCCCGCTAGGAGTTCCCAGAGGCAGGGAACCCTGTTTGGGGTTGTCTCTGTGTACCCAGCACCCAGCATTCAATAACTGTTTGGTGAGTGAAGGAAGGAATGAGAGGTCCCTGGCCTCAGAAGTTTTCTGGTCTAGTAGGGAAAGCAAAACAAGAATACAAATAAATACACTACAACAAAGAAAGTAGATGGAAATGACTTAAATCTGGAGACACAGGGAACAGCATTCTCAGGGGAGGGAACAGCATGGATGCATCGTGTACCCAGCCTCTGCACTGAGTGCTATGGAAGACACGAAACTGAAGGAAACACAGGCCCTTTGGGAGAGGAGGGATCTCAGCTGGGTCTTGAGGAATGAAGAGAAATGAGATGGGCTCATTCTGACATTCACCCGCATATGCTGATCGCCAGCAGTGCTAGGATTGGAGCACTGTGCCAGAGGACAGGGGAGGCAGCCCGGCAGGAAAATGTGCAAGAGGCAAGGAGTAGAGAGGGCCATGAACTGAAGGGGCTCCAGTGTGCAGAGCCTCACAGCAGGCAGGGCAGGCCAGGCCCCGGGAGAGGGTGACGGCAGTGTCTTCTGTCGACAGGCCTGTTCACCATCGAATATACTGTGAAGGAAGAGACGGAAATCAGCCGAGCCAGGATAAAATCCGGGCCCCATCTGGAGCAGGGTACCAAGCTCAGTCGGCACTCGGGGGAAGTCCTGTCGTCACAGTCTCAGTTGACCCGAGCCGAAGTCTCCGCGGGGGAGTCTGTGAGGGAAGACTCCGTGTGTGTTCCTGTGAGGCGCCTTCGGAAGAAGACCATCCAGACTGAAGCCAAAGCCGCGGCCGTGCCCAGGTGGCTCCACCGTCCCGTCCCCCCACCTCCCCGCGTCGGGCCGTGATGGATGGTAAACCCGGTGACCAAAACGTGAGGCCTCCCCGTCTCGGAGCTGAAATCCTAGGGGTGGGGAGAGAGGGAAAAGAAACACAGGGACCACTGAATCATCAAGGGAGTGACAAGGGCCAGGAGAAAGTAACCGGGGTGATGCGTTAGAGCAGAGGTTGGCACCCGGCAGCCGTGCCCGACCTGGCCCCGCGGCGGGCCCTTTTTATGGGTAAGCTGAGAAGGGTCTTTATGTTTTTAAGTGTTTGTGGGGGGCGGAAATCAAAAGAAGTTTTCATGATCCTTACATATTGCCCAGAGCGGCTTTCCTGCTGGGGTGGAATGTTGAGGAGCTGTGACCGAGGCCATCTGGCCTGTAAGGACCGGAACATTTATGCTCTGGCCCTTTATAGAAAATGCGGGCCAACCACAGGGGTGGAGAGTGACTGGGAAGGGGGCAGGATGTGCTGCGTTAGGTGGACGAGTCGGGGAAGGCAGTTCTGAGGAGACAGTGCTTTCGTGGAGACCTGAAGAATGAGAAATAGGCAGCCACAGAGATGGGTGGGGCAGGAGCATCAGGCAGAGGGGAGCGCACGTACAAAGGCCCTGAGGCAAGAACAAGTTTGGATGTGTGAGGGAAAGTAAGACCAGCGTGGCCAGAGCATCGTGATGAAGTGGGGAGAATGATGCGAACTGAGGACAGAGAGGTAGGCAGGGGCCAGACCAGGAAGCCTCGCTAGTGTTGTAGGAAGCCGTTCCATAACGTTAAGACGGGAAGTGACATCTTCTGATCTATGGGGTTTTATTTTAAACTTTTAAAAAACATAAAATGTATACATTTATATTTTAACTTTAACTAGCTCCCTAGACGTGGCTTCTTGTCCCCTCCCCGCCCCAACCACTCACCCCATCCTGCCCGCAAAGGGAAGGTTGCTAACATCATAGATTAGTTTTTATTGTTTTTAACTTTGTTTACATGCAGCTATTCAGTATGTATTCTTTGGCATCCAGCTTCTCTCCCTCAACGTTGCAATAGTGAGATTTATGCACGTTGTTGCTTGTAACAGTAGATGCTCGCTTGCATTGCTGTGTGATAACCTGTTGTATGAGTATACCTAAAATTATGCATTCTAGAGTTGATGGGGATTTGGGGTGTTTACAGATTTGGTAATCACAGACTGTGCTGCTGTTTGCATGTGTCTGATTTCTGGTTGATTGTGACTGGTGTGAAAGTGCCGTCATAGAATATGCGTCATTGACCGTTTTGGATATTCTCTCTTGCAAAGTGCGTGTTAGTTCTCTTGTTCATTTTTCTACTGGTCGTTCAGCTTTTCTTGATTTATCTTTTGGAGTTCTTTATATATCATGGATACAGGATTTTTGTCAGTAATATGTGTTGGAAATGATTCTCCCACTTTTAGTCTGGTAACAGTGTTTATTGGTGAACAGAAGTTATTAAATTTAATATCCTATTTTCAATCTTTTTGTTTCTAATTAGCTTTTTGTATCCCGTTTAAGAACTTTCCTGTCTACGAATATGTCAAACAACATGATGATATTTTCCAAAGTTTCATTCTAGTAGTTTTTTTAACTTTTACGTTTATATCTATCCTCTTCTTGGAAATGATTTCTGTGTATGATGCGAAGTAGGGGCCAAGTTTTATTATCATTATGTATAATTTTAACATATATATTTAATTTACATATGTTTAATATTTTTATTAATTTATAAATATTCCTATATATATATATATGACCCAGCATCACCTATTGAAAAGACTGTAATTTTCCCTCAGCTCTTTTTTGCAAACTCTGTCATAAATCAAGGGGCTCTAGATTATAAATCAAAGGTCATTTTTCTGGCCTCTCTGTTTTTTACCTTATTTGTCCAACCTTTTACCAACACCAAACTCTCTTAGTTATTATAGCTTTATAATAAGTACTGATATACAGGATGCAGAGCAGTTCCATCACCTCTCCCCCTAAAACTGAAGTTCCCTCCTGCCACCCCCTTGTACTCAGAGTCTTCCTCTCCTTAACCCTTAACCACCACTGACCTGCTCTCTGCCGCTGTAGTTTTGCGTTTTCCACAATGTCGTGTAAATGGAATCGTACCGTGTATAGCCTTTTGAGTCTTATGTAGCTTCTTTCACTTAGCACAGTGCATACAAGATTCATCCGTGTTGTCACATGTATCAATAGTTTATTTCTTTTTATTGCCGAGTAGTCCGTTTCAGGAGGCCCCAACAGCACCCCACATTCAGAGATTTGCTAGTACTCATGGGATTCAGCATATAGTTTAACTCACAGATAAAGTTGATTACAGTGAAAGGATGCGTGATAGGATCCACAAGGGAAAAAGATGCAGGTGGAATCTGGAGAAATCCATAGATAGATTTCATATGCTGTCTCCCTCCTGTGAGGGGAAACACCAAGCATACTCCTTTCTCTAGCGCTGAAAAGTGTAGTAACATATGTGCAATGTTTCTGCCCAGGGATGCCCACTAGAGACTCAGAGCCCAAGGTTTTTGTTGGGTGCTGGTCACATGGGTGCTCTCTGCCTAACAAATATCAAAATTCCAGACTGCCAGAAGGAAAGCAGGAGTTCAGCATAAATCACATTGTTCACACAGACCGTCCAGACACAGTGTTAGAAACGGTTCCAGTGCCAGTTCTCGGACACCAGCCAAGGGCCAACCTTGTAAGCAGGTTCTTCTAAAGACAGCAGGCTCAGGCTTTCTATGCTAACTCATTTCTGCATGTGCTATGTGACGTAGATGGGCAAAAATTTATTTATCCATTCACTCATTGGAAGACATTTGGATTGTTTTCAGTTTTTGGTGATTATGAATAAAACTGATATAAATACTCCAGAACAGGTTGTTATGTGAGCATAGGTTTTCATTTCACTTGGGTAAACACGTGCGAGTTGCACTGCTGGGTCATGTGTAAATGTATGTTTAACTTTATAAGAAATCGCCAAACTGTTTTCCCAAGTGGCTGGACCATTATGCATTCTCATCAGCAACATATTTGATAGATTATCCTGCGGTAGGGTACGTCAAGTAATTTTGGTTTATATCCTGAACATTTTGTATATTATGTTGTCAGACTCTAGATTCTTTTAAAATCCTCTGGGGAAATGTTGATTTGGTTTGGCAAACAATCAACGTGCTTACGTTCAGACTGCAAGTTCTGTCTTGGCTTCTGGGTGTGGAGTTCCAATATCTGTCTGATTTTAAAAGTCTTTACAGTGTTGTTTAGGTCTGGCTCTTCCCTGTGTACTCAGACGTTACTCTGAAACTGGGGTAGTGGTTTAAATGGTAGTTAAGTTCTCAGAGCTTCTGCTGTGCTTTTCTAGGGATGTTCTGTGTATGCGCATCTAGGGTGTGAGCCCAGGACTTACGTCAGTTCAGACATGGAAATAGGGGAGCCCCTTCTGCTCTCTCCTCCACAGGATTTCCACCACACTCTCCAGCTCCTAGGAGCCTCATCTTCTGATCTTTTAGTAAAAAGCGAGGAATTTCTCAGAGTTATAGCTATTATATATCACATAGTTCTTTATAACTGGGCCTGCCCTTAGGGTGAAATGTCAAGAGAAGAGAGAGTTTTAAAATATTATGGATTCTAACCACACTCTGCACATGAGGAGCCCCTTTTCCTGGTTCCTCTATTCAGAAAGGACACATTTTCCCTCAGTCTTTAGGTGCCCATGCCATTGCTGCCACTGTGACAGCAGTGCACTTCTGTTACGAGTACTGGCCATGTGGCAGAGCCAGGAGAGAGAAAACAGGAAATAGGGATTTCTCTCCACACTCCTAGGATCACAGGGACCTCTTTTGCTAGTCCCTCGGCTAGAAAGAATGTTTTTCCTCAGAGTTTTTGTTAACTGCTTCCACTGGCCAGTTCTCCAGATTCGGTTCACCGTCAAGTCCAGCTGGGATATATAGGAAGGAAAAAAGAATAAGGCCAGGAAAGTCCCCACCGCCATACTGATCCTTCCTCAAGTTTTTGACTCCCTGCTCCCCCTCCCACAATCTACCTGCTATTGTTTACCTTTCAAAGTCGTCAGGTGCTTTAAAAAATATTCCGTCCAGAGTTTTTAGTCGTAGTCAGTGGTAGAGGGAAACTGCGGTGTCATTACTCCATCTTGGTCAAAACTGGAAGCCACAATTGAATTCTACATACCGACTTTTTTTGCAGTGATCTTGCTCAATTTCATTTATTATCAGTAGATTATTTGGATTTCCTGGATACACAGACTTGTTCTCTGCAAGGTTAATTTCTTCTTTTCCAAATAGTATACCTTTTTATTTCTTTTCTTGCCTAACTCCACAGGTTTGTCCCCCAATGCAACAGTCAACAGAAGCGGTAATAACAGGCATTCCTGCCTCCTTCTCATCTTAGAGGAAAAATTTTTAGTATTTTTTCCACTATACTGTGTTTTATAGAGACCTTTTATTAGATTAAAGAAGTTTCCTTTTATTCCTAGTTTGCCAAGAGTTTTTATCATAAACACATACTAACTTCTATCAAATACCTTTTTTGCATCTATTGAGATGATCCTGTTTTTTCCTTTATTCTATTATTGTGATGAATTTTACTGATTGGCTTTCAAATGTTCAACCAATCTTATATTCCCAACGTATCTAATTTTGTTTTAATATATTCCCTTTTTATATTTTTCTAGATTTGGTTTGCTAGTATTTTATCTAGGAGTTTGGTGCTTGTGTTTATGAAAGAGATTGGCCGACAGTTTTCCCTTTTTGTCACGTTCTGTAAGACTGGCCTCTTAAAACAGTCTGGGAACTATTTTTTCTTTTTCTACGATCTGCTGGTGTTTGTGTGCACTTGGGTTATTTCTTCCTTAAATATTTTCTAGAGTTTACCAGTGAGGCCATCTGCCCTGGCATTTTCTTTCAGTGGAAGTTTTAATTAAAACTTTTATTTTTGATAGATATAGGACTATTCAG